CCCCAAAACCCCAAAACCCCAAAACCCCATAAGAATGAAATATGAATGCAATTTGAGAATTAATAAAAGCAATAAATCAAGCAATTCTAACCAAAATGAAGATTGTGTTTTGAATAAAAAAAAGCATTTACTGATATTATTTAGGAATTAATTAATTATAGGTAAAATGGTAATTTATTTCACTTAGGGTTTCTGATTACAATAATGACTGAATCGCCTCTTAGGAACATTTTGGATATGTATCTTTCTCTGTTTACTGGATGTGCCTTTTTCCCTTTGTGTGCTTTGGGAGTCTCAGTCCACATCTCGCAGACATTCTCTAGAACCATATTCATGTGGCGATCGAAAGCCTTGACTCTCCCAAGAATTTTGCGATTGTTTCTGCAATTGATAGCTACCTGGGAATTGGTCTTGACTGCCTTAGTTAATAGAGACAATGGACCCTCGTGGAATGTGTCCTCTTGTGGGATGTGCTTTTTCTCTTCTGCCATTCTTTTAAAATATTTATAATTAATATTATTATTGCAAATTATAAATTGGTATATACTATTTAATCATCATAATTTTAACGTTTATTTAGATTGAATTTGCCTCAATGTTTTTAAGGTGGCTGTTATCTCTTATGATTCGGCGCAGGCTTTTTGACCATCTCATATCTCTATTGCTGCTAATTCTACTAGTTCTAGTAATTCTACTGGTTCTTCTCCTCCTCATCTTTGTTGACTGAACTCATTTTTCTAGCGAATGCTTGGTTGAGTTCACTTAGGAATGCTCCTTCAACTCGAGACATGTCTTCCATCAGTAAACTTTAACCGCCTGACATTAGACCACTGCTAATGAATCTATTTCCTATCGATATTTCAGAAATCTCATCCTCAAGACCTTGTCTATGCAGTTTATTTGGTATTTTATTTTTGTTTGATGGACTCTTGAGATCATTACCGCCAGTCATAATATCTCTCATATGTTCCTGAGTAAAGATTTAAGGCAAAATGATTGTATCTTTAGACTGATATTAACTCATTGAATAAGTGATCTTGTCATCCTTAACAGTCTTTTTGCCTCCATTCGGATTCATATAGTCTTTTGAGGTTCCTGTTTAAATATGTGGCACTAAGCTCTCCATTGAAGATTCAATAATGTTTGACTCAAGATTCAGGTTAATCTTAACTAAATCTGATGGTGGCTCTAGAACTGGAACGTTATGAAGATCCTTTGCGTTAAGCAAGTCATCGTTAAGAATATTAGCCCAGACATCATTGAAACCTTCCATATCTTCATTATTCTTCTCAGTCAAGTAGAATTTCACTGAGTGATTGAACAAGAAGCTCTCAGGGATTTCTTACAGAGAGTAGCCTTGAAGATCAAAGAACAGTCTAAATGTGTTTAGAACTTTTCCTTTCTTTGACATCTTTTCTAGCTTCCTTGAAATTTTATACCAAAATGATGGGAATTTCAGGGTAGAAATTAGTACCCAAGTTCCGTTTTCAGCACATTTTTCAATTAGTTAGATTGATGACTGATTCTAAGTGATCTGTTTATCATCAATCTCGAGTTCATCTTTTGAAAACATTCTCTAATAGTTACTCTTCTGCATCATAACTCTATCTTCTTTTGTGGGATCTATTTGGTCATAGTGAATGCAGGCAGCTTCATTGCTGAGTGGTTTTTCAGGGTCAGCTTCAACTTAAGATGACTTTAAGTTGTCATTTACCTCCTTATTTTAGTAATATCTCTCATGCTTCTTGATACTCTATTAGTAATCAGTTCTCAGAACCTCAAGGCCAACTCCATAGTAACTAGCAATGGAACATACAGTGTTCACGATATTAATTGAGTTAGAGGTAAATAGGGCAACTGGTAAACTCCAAGATGCGGTCTTGATAAAATTATGAAGCTTGTTGAGGTCTTCAGTGAAATCAAAGATTGTGGTTAATTCCTCATACACAAACTGGCATATCTTAGATCGCCATTCATCATCAGGGCAGATAAATCCTACATTAAGCTTCTTGATTAGTGGAATGTCTTTCCATTATTAGCCTTCGTTGTTTGTTTTGAATAACTTTTGATAGAGTAGACTATTTGCTTCTTTATATGTGAACTCTTTTCCAATTTTTATCTCAATAGTTTCAAAAAGCTTTCTTAGGTCTGGATAGATCTTTAGCACATCTCTCTTTATACCCATATATTCCAACTGCTTTATTCTTTGATGAGGCTCAGCGAATCCACTTGGAATAGTTGATGGCTTGTGAGGGTTAAGTCTCCAGTCATAGCAATTCTTAATCTTGAAGAACTTCTCTACAAAGAAGTCTTTATCTTCTTAGTTCACAGTGGTTTTCTTAAGGGCTATCTCTAAACTGAATATCAGATTGAATAACGAGACATGCTCTTGCTTGATACCAGCAACAATAGTCGAATAAATACTTGGCATAATAACTGAATGGAAAAACTCTTCATCAATTGTGAATTCCTTATCCTTTTACTTCTTCTTTTTCCTTTCCTATCTCTAGATATCATTCTCACTGTTTTGCCCGTCTTGGCCATCCTCTCCCTCAAAGCTGTCCTCGTTTTCTTTGTTTTTAAGGCTAATATAATTAAGATCATAAACTTGACTTACTTCATGGTCAGGTCTCTAATGATCTTGGCAATAATCATGTCAATAACTTTGGTGTAAATTTTCCAAGAATAAGTTATTTCTTCTGTGAATTTTGAGAGCTCCTTTAAGGCGTAATACAACTATATGAAAAATAAGAATAAGTATTTATTACAATCACGAAAATGTTGCTATAGCTTGCTAGTAGAGGATGCTCATTAATGAGACTATGGAAAGCCTAGTTATACTGCTGATAATCTTCTTCTAACTGTTTGATGTCAATAAAGCAGAGTCTGATATCTTCAAGTTACTTATGATCTTTCTCTTCAACATTCTATCTCTTAATCTTCATAAAAAGCTGGTCAAAGGCTTTTTATCTTTCAAGAAGTTTTAATCTCAGCATTTAAGTCTACTACTTTATCAATGTTAGTTTTTGGTAATTGTCTGGAAGGAAATGCTTAAGTAAAATCTGCTTAATTTCGATCCAAGCCTCATTCTTATTTACATAAGTAGCGTTAAAGATTGTTGCTTTCGCTAGGTAATCATGATTCAGATTGAAGCATTGATTTGCTGAGAATAGAGTAATTGCTGGTAAACAAAGACTAGGATTCTCTTTAATCATCAATGGGATTTTCTTGAAGTATTATGGCTGAGATAGTCTGTGCAAAATTGGTTGATCCTAGGATTTGCCTTGGATATGCTTTGAATAGTCACATAAGTCATTCAAGAAAATGAGTTAACCTTGCTTAGTGTCATTAATCTCTAGAGTATTTATAATCTTTTCTTGGATCATATAGTCTGAACTGAATTTAACTTTGACCTTAAATCTGTTCATCTCGTCAAGGACCTATTCAGTAAACTCTTGTTGATAGTTTCCAACAGAGTCATAGATGATCGGAGTTGTGGGGCAGTAGATGTACGTGAACAAGAATTCTGAGAATAAAGAGTCGACAAACAAGTGACTTATTTTGTTAAAGATGTGAGATTTCAAGCCCAAGTCATTTTGAATTATCTTTTTGAAGTACTTGCTATGGACTTGCTCTGACTGTGTGTTTTGCCAGTATTCACTTGACTCTACATTTCTTTACTGCAAAAGCTTCTCAGCAAGTTGCTTTCTAATTTCCATTCTCTCTCCGATTGACAGTGCTCCCAAGTATACAACTGAGCAAGCTAAAATTAGAGAATCTCCTTCTAAGTTCTTCATTCTAATCTTGACTTTATCAAGTTTGGCTTCACTCTTTTTCCCTTACTTTAGCAGAGATTTTAGTTTATAGTCATTTCTTAGATTTTTCATTTCCTTCATATCGTATCGCTTCAGGATGTCTCTAATGTCTGTTCTATTGTTCATCATTTTTTGTGAGGATGACCCTTAGAATTGACTATCCTGGTTCTGCTTTATTATTTGACTTAAGTTCTTTTCTTTACCAAGTAGGTCTTCAAGCTCTTCCTTGATATCAGTTAGTTGAGTGTGATAAAGCTGAGCGATAGTTTGATTGTAAGAGATTAAGTCCTTGAGTTGTTTGATCCTATTATCGTATTACTAATATTTCTTATCAAGAGAAGATTTCTTGAATAGCTCATTGATGATTTTGGTGATGACCCCAATCAGACTTTTATCCTACTCGTTTTAAAGGAACTTTTTCGTTACCTGCTTAGTAAATTTAGTTACTATTACATCTTATATACCTTATGATGTTACAGTTTTTAGTCTTGAAATTAGATCGTTGGGACTCTATAGATAGTTATTGACACTCTTCTTGGATGAGAGCACAGCTTGAAGTGCTTGAATAATTTCCGTGTCACTGTCACTTAGCTGACCTGAAACTAAAGCTTGAGAGAGGTTTTTGAATTCTTAGTTATTTAATTGCTTCAATCTCAAGACATATTAAATCACATTTGCCTCAGCCTAAGTTTTATTGATTTGTAAATCATCCTTTAGCTTCTCAAGTTAGTTGCCCTGCTCAATCTTTTCTTTTTCCTTCTGTTTGATTGATTATTCCTTATGCTTAATTTAAGCCTAGATCATCTCAATCTTCTCTTAGATTGAGATTAAGTTGAAAATCAAAACGTGATTCTTTGTCACAGAAGATTGATCTTTAGTGAGAATTTTCTTCATATAGTCTGCTTAAAGTTATTCGTATTACTCATAATACTGCTAATAGAATTATTTCTGTGAAGCAAGAGACTTATACAGAGTATCCTTGATTGTCTAATGAAGTTGTTTAAATGTCTCAAATCTGTAGCTACACTATGTGAAATCCGAAGGGATAGTAAGATTGAGTTCTGAATTTACCTTCAAATTGTTGATGTCATCGAACAGTGGATCCTTATAAAGAATATTGAGTTTTTATTCTGGGATATAGAAGCCATTGTATTCATTATTAAAAGTAAACTGATGCTTCTTTTGTAATGTAATGAAAGTAGATTGGTAAACTTAGTCAAGAGAATAGTCATGAATCCATTGTTAGATATCAGAGTAAACACTTTCTAAGGATTGATGTTCTTCTGGGACATAAGCTACTTGGAATAGATGTTCAAGTTATGGGTAGGAAGATGTATATGTTTGATAGTTTTGTAAATTTTGAATGGAAATGATAACATGAACATTCTGGCTGATTTTGGTGAGAGCATTCATTAGCAGCTATGAATCAGTTATGGATGCTGTTAAGCTTGATGGTGATGCTGGACTGCTTATTCCTGAGTGGGGACTATGAGAGATCTATTAGTTGTACAACTCTCTAGCACATTCAATTAGAGTTTGTCTAAGATTTCTCTCAAGAACTATATCAAGAGAGTTGAAGTAGGATAAGGATGAGTTCTGAGTTCCTTCCTTGATAGAGGCCACCAAATTGACTATGTAATCAATGTAACTCAGATCATTAAGGTAATTATCTTCCAATAAAATGATTTATCTCTTTTAACCTTTGAGTGAATTGAAAAGCACATTGTTTATTTGATCTACAAAAGTGTGAGAGTCTCTAAATTTAGAGACATCTGGTTACCAAATGCTGAACTTAAGTTTCTCATTGATGATATTTAATGCTGCATCAGACAGTCTGCTACCTGGGCATGAGATAAAAGCGAAATGCTGGTTTGGTCTCTTAATGTTAGAATATAGATTAGCTAGTACTTTTATCATTGGCTTTGTAAAGCTGCCAAAGAAATCTCTCAACTCATTGATTTCACAAATAGTCTTTTGTCCATTTTACATCAAAGTCAAATTGTCAATCGTTAGCGGATGGTAAGTTGTGGAATTAGATGGAAGCTCTTCTTTTATAGATTTAATGATATTATCATAAACTTAAGTTTTCATGCTTGGGAATATGATTCTATCAGTAATGTTTCTTTTAACTTCGAGCAAGAAAACATCAACTACACTTTACTCTTTGATGTTATTAGAGTTAATTCTTTGGATCAGGGATGTTATTAAATGCATATTATTAAGTCCTAGAATGCTTGAAACACTAAGATTCTTATTGCTACCTAAGAACTAATATGTTCTGTATATGATATTTGAAAGTTGAGTCTACAGAGAGGCCTAAACTTAAAGCTTTCTCGAGATGAATTGTTTCACAAAAATATCGAATTCTTGAGATTAAGTATCACAGTTGAATACATTAGCCTGCGATTTTTGATTGTCATATTTTTCAATTGGTGACGAAGTTATCAAGCTAATAAACTTCTAGGTTTGTCTTACTAATGTTGGATGATCAGTATGAAAAATGCCGAATTCATTCTACTTGACCAGTCTAAGATATTCAATGAGGTCGAAGTTGAATGAATGTTCTAGGACATTAATATCTTCTAATATAAGTAATGTAGGTTTGTCATCAATTATCTATTGACCTGAGACAGACAAACTCGATCTTGTATTGAGGATAGATCTTACTGACTTTTAAGAAATGAAACATGTAATTGGGACTTTGATAACTTTAGACGCAATGTCATTCTGATAAGACTTCATTATGTATCTGATAGTGGTGGACTTTTATGAGCCATGCTGGCCGCTTATCTGGAAGTCTTTTCCATTCTTAAGCATTAATCTTGCATAATTAGAAGCTCTTAAAAGTTAAGAGTTGAGAATAATATCATTTTCAATGCTGTTTTGTCTTAACTCAATAATATCTAAAGTATCGTAGTCAAGGCAATAATTGAAAATAGAGCCTCTTATGCCAAGTTGTGATTTCATTCCACTGAATACTTCTTCAAGGGCATTCTTCCCATCGATTCCTAAGATATTTCCAATTGCCATAAGTATCGTCATTAATGAAGCTTTAATTAAAGTTTGTTCTATATTGCCAATGGATTTAAGTTCATTTATAATAGCAGAGTATGTTCTGATGCAATACTAGACTCCCTAGGCTATCTTAAGCCTAATCTTCTCCAGATATTTAGCTTTTCTAAGTTCATTGAGAGCTGGTAATAGAATTTCATCAACTGAATAAGCTACATTCTCCTCAACCTATTTCTGATTGGATTTGAATTTATTCAGGATCTTCTTAGTAATTACCGATTTCATCTTAGATGCATACTCTTTCAGATCAACTATCTCTCTGGTATTAATGATTTAAACTGCATTAACAAATCTTGGTGAGACTCGTTCAAGATCTCTCATTTCATAGATGATGGGAATATCCTTCCTTAGAGTTTCTTGAATACCATTAGGAAGCACCAATGTAATAGACTCACCATTATGAGTCTCAGATGTTTATTACTCTTTAAAGGTTTAATACTCTAGGTAAGGAATAAGAGTCTCATTGAACATTGTATCGAACTCTCCATCAACAACTAATACTTAATTGGGCTTCTGAATCTCATTCTTTAAGACTGAAAATAATGAATGCTTTAGTGCACCTACTTGCTATTCAATAACTTGCTGAGTAGTGCTGAAAGGATCATAAATACCATATATCTCTCTATGGGTTCCAATTACAGTTGGACTGAAATAGACTGGGTTAAGTTTGAGTAAGTCCTTGACAATTAGTTTAGTGTACTCTGACTTGCCTGAGAAATTCTTGCCCACAATGCAAACTGGCTTTTTCTGGAAGATGGTCTTTCTAAAGAGTTTAACCTTTGAAATTTCATCATTTGGAATATTCAAACCTCTATTCTTAATTGTTTGAAGAATGACAGCATCTTTTTAAGTTAGTTTGCTGGCATCTTAACCTTGTGCTGAATAAAGCTAATCAGCTTCTTTAAGAGCATTTTTGCCAAAAATGCTAGAAATAATTGATCTTATTTCTTTTTTGCTCTTTTCCTCATTAACCTTCAGGCTAGCATAGAATGCTTGTAGTTTTTCTTGCAAGAATAGACCAAGCACATGGCAGATAATTATTTCTTCCATATGCTGTCTGATAACCTTTTGCTGCTTTTCTCTTTCATCTTCCTCTTCAATTTCTCTGAGAATGGTTTGTTTACTTCTTCTCTCTTAAGGATAAGTCATCAGCTTATTCTTCTTTTGCTTTGATTTGGCAAAAAGATTCTGCTATTCACTTTTGCTGATGATTTACTCCTCAAGAAGGCAACTGGCACATTTGGATAACCTCTTAAGGTCTCTTACACTGAGTGAGAATGAATCATCTCTATCATTTAGTTGAAGAAAATCAGCTACTCTCATTATGGCATCATTTAGTTTGACTGACAAACTTCTGTACTCACGGAAACCCTCGCTCTTTAATAGCATTGTTGTAATTATAGGCATCTCAGGTCTAGTCAGACTAAGGACCCTGAAAGCACTCTAAAGGGCAGTAGAAACCTCAGTTGCCCATTTCTCCTTCTTTAGATTAAAGCAGTGAGAGATTGAAGCGAACACACCAAAGCAAACTTTGTTTTAGTTGTTTAGTTTAGATTAACCTCCTCCTAATGTGTTATTCTAATTATCATCAAGTTTGATTTCATCACATTAATCTTCCTCTAACTAATTATGATCTTGATTGAACTCATCATAATCCAAGTCAAGTTAAGATAAGTTCTAAAGCACCTGGTTTGACTGGTAGTTATGTTAAGCTGATTATCTTTGATTGTCCTATCCTTGCTTTTGATATTAGAGTTCTTTTCTGCTAGATTGTCTAGCTAATTTATCTTACTAGATGATATTGATCTTATTGTCATAGTTTTAGTTGTTGTTATGGTGGATACTGTTATCCTCATCTTCATCATCAAAGTTTGAGGGACTGTTGTTATCATCATAGTTATATGCATCTACAATTTTGATGTCATTTCCACCTCCCACAATGTTAGTCATTTTTATGACATTGGCATTCTTAGTGCTATTGTGACCATTGGTGTTTTGCTTACTTTCTAGACTTGCTTGTTCTCTGATTCTTTCAATACTTCTCTGACATTGTGAAATGCTCTGATTACCAACTGTGATATGTGCTGTGATCACTGAAGAGTCCTAACTGAGCTCAGCAATGATGAATTGTTGTTGAACCATTTGAATTTCCTTATTGAATGTCTAGAGGTGAACGTAGTCCAGTTTGTCTACATGCTCGAAAAAGATCCATACTGAAGCTAAAGCTGCTCCGTTCAGGAATTGCATTAGACTCTTCATAGAAAGTTTAGGGTTACACTGATACTCTTTGAAGGGCACTGAACAGATAGATGAGAATTCTTGGAATATGTCTCCACAATAATCATGAGATGGAATGCACCTGAACAAAACTGCTGACTTCTCTCTGAATGCAGCTGAGATGAAAACAAAGTATTTATTGGTGAGAGGAGTCAAGGGCACTCTCTGCTTAGCTCCGAAGTACTCATTTGCTTGCTGAGTAGTCCAGGCTCCACAGTCAACTTTACAGCCAGAATCCTTGCCATTCCAAGTAAGTCTCATTTACTTCTACCACTCGAAGTCCTCAACATTATCTATCTTCTTTGACTTTAGCTCGTAAACTACGTCTCTCATGTAGGATAGAAAATTGATGATAGTCTGCATCACTAGTCTCTAAACTGGATGGAGATCTAGTTGAAGATTTGGAGTGTCAGGGGCATTCAAGTTATTCAAATCTTTTTCAAAAGAAGACTTCCAATCTTAGTTGCATGGTTTAGACATATAGAGACTTTTGCAGATTTAGTTTATCCAAAACTGAAGTCTGAGATAAAGACCTCTAAATGATTTCTCTTGCAGTATTCTCATTGTCTCATCTTTGTTATCAGCCACCAAATTAAGGTCGAAGTCAGATCCAAACATGTTAGAAGCGAACTTCTTTCTCTCCCTCGAGATATCTAGTGCCTCTAGTTCGCTTTCAGTGAAGTCCTCTTCATCATCCATATTTGGATATCCTCCTAGTTCATGCTAACCAAGCATACCTTCTTCAGTGTAGACTTGATTTTACCTGAATTGCTGCTGATTCTTGATCTTTTAGTGATTATGAGTTGAGGAGTAATTTGATGAAGTCTGGTTGTTACCATTGTGGTTACCTTTATTGTTAAACTCATGAGTTGATACTTTTCTAGGGGCAACTCCATTGTTGTTGCCACCCATGCCTCCTCCTACTTCATCCTTCTTGCGCATAAATCTAATGCTTGATTTCTGAGATATGTGCTAAGAAATGTTTCTATGGGAAATCTATGAATTCTTGATAAGATCTCTAGTATCTGGAGTCTTAGGAGTCGCTCCAGTGTAGTCATCCTCAGAGTCATCTCCACCATGATCTGAACTCTACCTGTTCATGCCATCTCCATTCTCCTTTTCCTTTCTCATCTCCTCAAATAGTTCGTTTATCTCATGAGTGAGAATCAGATGGATAGTAGTTAAAATGACTTGCTGTGGGTAGTCCAATATCCATTCATCAAGAGATTGCTTTGGGAATGTATTCACTGCATAATTGATCAATTTGCCTACAGTATCTTGCATATTTGATTCTGCTCCTTGTAGCCAGCATTCTACTTTGTTTTGTTGATAGGGAACTTTTCTCTCAAATAGAAATAGCTCATTCAAAGATGAAATTAATCCCATTACTTGTTGAGGCTTGTTATATTCATTTGGCTTTGATCTTTTAGAGTTGTACTATGAATCAAGCTTGTCTAAGTTATCTAGCTCAATGATACCTGTCTTCAAACCTTTATTATTCATTGCTTCTTTCTAATTCATCATCTTGTTACCTTTCATCTGATACTGCTAATGACTTGCTTGTAGGTTCGAACTGATATCAATCATCTCTGATTTGATTTAACTAAGATCATTCACCATTGGAGGTGGAACTCTAAAAGGTCCTTCTTAGTTAGTAACTTACTATAGTGGCTGATCAAGAAATACTTTTGACACACCTGGGAATAGAATGTTGATAAATCTGTTAAAATCTAAGTTTTACTCAGCAAGTTCAATGAATTCAAGGAACTGCTTATCAGTCATAAAGAAGAATCTGGGGAATGCAAGTCTTTTTGCCTCAAGATAATCTTCTAGACTTTTCTGAATTAATGTTCCTGCTGATGTAATCTTGTCCAGAGTCTCTTGAATGCTTGAGCATAAAGATTGGAAATTCTTGAGAGTTGGATTTACATAAATCTTGCCAGTCACACTGTTTTTGAATAACTTCTTAATTTCTAAGAATTTCTTGTGATCAGCAACTAGAGTGTTTTGAATCTTAGTCTAACTGAATATAGCATCCAAAGTTAAGATCATCTTTTAAGCATCGTTTATCTTTTCAATAACTCCAACCATATTCTCAATAATTGTGAACTACTCAATAAAGTTATCCTTCATATCTATATCAAGAAGCATAGGAGATTTCTGGCCTTTCTTGAGAACTACCATAAATTCTTCAAGTTAAGATTATACAATGTCGAATTCAGAGATTAAGTATATTTTTTCTTCTGCTGGTTAGTTTGGATTTTTGTACTCTACAAATTTGAACCTCAACTTATCTTCCATCTGTCCTCTAATTATCAAGTACTGGTCATCATAGTCTTGTTCTTACTCAGCTATTCTCACTATTTCTCTGATCTCACCTTCATAGCTGTAGATCTTGCCCTTAGATTGTAGCTCTTATAAGGTAAAATCTTCTTTCCCTATCAAATTCTAAATGCCTAGCTCATTGAAGATCATGTTCCAGTGCTTCTTCTTAATGCATTCCTTCTTTAAATCCTTAACCAAGTAGATTATCAACTGGAGTTCACTCATTTCCTTTTAAATAGTTTGAGAGAGATTGGTAAGCCTTTGTCTGAATAACTAGTCTTCAGTCATTTTCTACTCAAAGAACGACATTGAATCCTCTAATAGGTTTGTGATATCTAAGAAGTTCAGTTTTAAAAATGGCTTTTGTAGTAATGCTGTTCTTTGAGATCTCCACTCATCTAAAATTGTCCATAACTTAAGGGTGTATTTATGTAATTGCTCGAGTTGAGAATAGTCTTCGAAACAGGTGATCTCAGTGGCTTTCTGGAATTGATCCTTCATGTTCATAATGTTGATGCATTCTTGGTACAACTCAACTTTAGACTTTATCTCATCAATCATTTTCTATCTGTACTTCAACTCATTTAGAGTCTGACTTGTTTCATTTAACTTTGAAGGGTCATCAATATAGTGATCAACGTACTTCTTCTAGAAGGCAGTGATCTTGTTTGTTAAGCTTTGGCAGCTTTATCTCATTTAAGCTTCCATTTAAGGTTTTGAGAGTTCGAGTTTTTCAGTGCAGTGTCTAACTAGCATTGGTAGATTCTCAATGTAAGTTTCTAATTCTTGCACTGTAATCTGAACTGAGTCCTTGATATTTATTCTATTGTCTGTTTTACAAAGTAATGAGAGCTTCTTAATTGTATCATGTCTGTTGCTCAATTCTCCCATAGTTTCCTTTATAAACTTAAGTGTGTTGACTTGCTCTACATAAACGTTTAATGATGAAGGACTCTATTCAAGAATCTCATAAGCTTTACTCAAGTCTTATTTAAGTGCGATAGTATCAGTTTCAAGACTTGATGCTACTTTTCTCTCAATATGCTATATGACTCGCTTTGGTATCTTTTGAAGTTAATCATAAAGAGTTCTGAAATCTAGAGTGAGATATCTCAACATTAAAGGCTAAGTGGGAATTTATTGAATCAATTCTTGGAATCTCTCCATTAGGTTCCATGTTTCTCTGTTAGACTCAATATCAGTGATGAATGCATCTCCTGTCTAATTATTTTGTAGTGACCCTTGCCATCTTTCTTCGAATTGGATAATTTGTTTAAGGTCATCCATTCTTCTTATAACTCCTTCAGCTTCTTCGATGTCTCTAGAAATTAGTTCAAGGATCTGGTCCTTGCTGAGATTTGACTCTGTTTACTTCATCATATTATCTATCTTTTGATAAAAGCTACTTATATCCCATTTTCCTAGAGTGCCACTCTATTTAAGCAGGAAGAGACCAACTATCTTATTTAGTGCTTCAATTAGTTTTCTGTTGTTATAAACAAGCTAATCACTCTCTTGAATCGATAATTTAACTGTTTCATTTAGTGACTTAAAAGATGGTTAAGTTATTAAGTAGTACTCACTGTGAGTCGCATACATTTGGAGTTTTGGGTCTTGTCCAATTTGATTAGTCTGACCATTAATTTAGAACTTAACACTTAGTCTTATTTTTTGCCCTGTAAAGGATTTGTTCTTAGAAAGCATTGTAGTTATAGAAGATGAGAGTGCTACTAAGGACAGCTGTAAAAATCTGTCAAAGTTGCTTTACCTCTACTATATCACCTTCAAGTTATTCTTATCTAGTGTCCTCGGATCACCTTTCTTATCTTAACCTTAGTTTTAGCTTTTTCTTCCAGTACTTCCACTCTCTTTAATTCTTCTTTCAAATTCTTGGTTTGATTTAATAATGTAAGTTTGAAGCTTTTCTAAACTCACTCGGATTGTTTAAACTGAATCATTAAAAACGTTAACTTTAGACTGTGCTTTTGAATCTTTGCCTTTTAAATCTGCAGCTAATTTGACATTATCACTAACTGAACTTTCTACAAAACTTAAGTGCTTTATTTGATTTAGTTGAGCCATGATCATTCTATGATATTCTCCAAATGTTTAGCTCTTCGCTTAGATTAAGTTTTCACTCAGCATTAATCTTTTCTGATTATAAAGCGATTTCTAGCATTAATTTTTCCATAGTCTAAAGAATCTAATAGTTGTGAAATTTTAGAATATCCTCATCTGAGATAATCTTTAGAGTTTCTGCCAATCAAGTTAGGACATGTGATTATTATAATTCTCATCAAGATCATAAGAAGCTATTAGAAGTGGATTTCTATCTCCGATAGAGTGCCTTTGATTCTGACTTCCAGTGTTGAGAATTTAGCTAGACAGCATTTATGCTTGATTTCCGCCACTTTTATTCAAGAATGATCTTGGTGATACAAATTAAGATGTTCTTTGAGTTTTATCAATCATAGCAGTTGATGAGTTGTTATCGATTGTCGAGAGTACATTTTGCTAAACAAAAGCATTTGTAGATGAACTCATATTAATCTTATTGTTGATATGAGAAGATGATGGAGGACTAAACCAATTTTATTGTTTTTTAGCTGCACTATTTGAAGTTCCAATTTACTGAGATTAGTTTACCTATCTGTTGTACTAACTCGTGTTCACTCTAGAGGTTTTTGAACCACCTCCAACATTACTCTTTTTAGAATATTATATCGCAGCATGTGATGGAATCGCTTGATTTTGATTAATTGATCCTATAGATGCTCTCTTCTTTCGGATTGAAATGGCATCATCATAGCCTCTTATTGATCTTTGTGTAGCTGAAAAAATTTCACTTTCTTGATTTCTGGATTGATTGGGTTGTTACTGGGCAAGAACAGCAATATTATCCCTTTTGGTTGAACCTCTCTTTCTGGATAGAGATCCACTTACATTTGGATTTTAGTTCTTAGGAACTAATATAGTACTCTAGCTGTTTAGAACAGCTCCTTAATAGCTACCTTTCTTACCTAGAGAATGACTCTATTGAGAATTTTTCTTTTGTCCAATGTAATAAGTATTATTGGAGAAATTTGAAAAAATTGTACTCTTGTTTGAATTCTGAGCTGCTTGAGTGAAGATGGCTGGATTCTAGAAATTCATATTCCTATTAGTGGGAGACTTAGATAAACTCTAAGTGTGGTTATCAGGAGAATATACTTAGAGCTAAGTAACTATTTGATTTCTAGCAGTTTTAGAGCCATTTCCTCCGACATTCTACCCAGATGAAACGACTTAAGTCCCACCAAGCAGTTGAGATAGATTTGTTTGTAAATATGAAGATGATATTCCTGCTCCTGAGTTAACGCTTTAATTATATGGATTTTACTTAGTCCTTCTCTCAACACTCTTAATGACATTCTTAATATGCTCATCCAAATCGAAGGTAGTATTACTCTAACCTTTATTGACCGGTTAAATTTGGTTATTCGATCTTGCTGATGAGAGTCCTTGAGATGCATTGTTATATATTGCACTAGTAGCGAGCATTGTAGGTGTAATTCCCTGGTGTCCTCTACTTGTGTTTTATCCACTTCTTACAGTTTTCATCATTATAGAAGGATTATTAATTGACTGAGTCATTGGATTCGCCATACCTAATGATGTGGGCTTGAGTTTTTTCTTTGCATTCGGTGTTCTTGAATTTGAAGCTGATCCTCCACCACCACCACTGACACCAGATGATACAAGTTTAGCAAGCTTACGTGAGTAGGACTTGATCTTTTCATTTTAGCTCTGCTTAATCTGAGTATTCATGTTCATTTGATTATTGGAATAGTTGGAGGGAATCATCATCTACTAGTTTTAAAGTAATTAAACTTGGGACAAAGTAGGATGATCGTTCCCTCTAGAAGTTAAAGCGCCCATATTCAATCTTTAGGTCTGATTGATGTTAATCATTCCAGCATACCCACTAGAGTTCTATTCACTCATGTTACTTTGATTAACTGCAGGTAAATTGAACTATTAAGCACTAGGCTATTGCATTTGCTGGTTTTGAGCTTAGTACATCATATTTTTCCTCTGAATTGCAGTCGGACTGCTGCTATTCTGTGGCTTGACGTTTCTGCTTATCTTCAACTGGCTTGATCCTGTTAAGATGAAATATAATTGAGAAATAGGTTTGTATTTTACTTTAGGCCTGACGAGTTCCCCCTGAAGAGAACTGCTACTGATTAAATGAATCAGGATTGTTGCCTTAAAAATTCATTTTTTTCTGAGATGTTTTTAATTATTTCAAATTCAAATCTATTCTTTAAATTATAGTTAATTAATAAGTTGCATATTAAAATTTAGCCAATTAATTAATATAAAATTAAACAACTTTGAATCAACCTACAAAGGACTATTTAAGCGATGAGAGAATATGTGTAAAATTATCATTGGCCGTGTATGATGAATGAGATGATTTTATTTATTGACGAATCCTCACCTCTGACATCATTATTTGCCTTCATCATCACTTATTACAGGTGTTGCATGCAAAAATTCTCTTCTTATCATTATCTCCTCCCAACCCTTGGTCGATAGCAGGACCTAAAACTCTGCACTGTCATCTGGCTTAGCCAATGCAAGATCTTCTAAGTAACTCCATTCTATTACAGGCTTGTTTTCAAGGTAATCTTTCATTTTATTCAAACGACCACTCACTTTACAATAGATCTCTGCAAGTTCTTCATTGTTCTTGCCATAATCTTTCTCAAATTGTCTTAGGGATTAATGCAGGGATAATAGATCAGGATCTTTCTAATCAGCTTTGTATTTCATTGATGATTAATTGATGTCACTCGATCTCCTTCTGTTGTCTTTTATCTTTACTAGCTCTGGATGCTCTTTAACTTTTCTCATTATCCTGTTTGAATTAGAATCTCTGACTATTTCTACTTTTAAGGTTTTTCCAAATCTCTCCTCAATGAGCATATTATTTGCGAATAAATGGTTAAAATCATCAATTTCCAACTCTTAGTAGTATTATTCAGCATCTATTTCCAACGGGAATTGATTATCCTTCAATAATGCTAACTCTTCCCCATTCTCTTTCTTTATGTACAGATCGTAAAACTAAATATCTCTTCGACTAAATTTGTCAGAAAGTTTATTGTTTTAAAGATGAATTGTTCTTGATTATAGGGTTTCAATATTCAAGTCAGCCTTATCCTTGATGACTTTGCTGAAACCTTCTGACAAATCAGATGGATTCTCTTATTATCTTATCATTTCTCTGGTAAACTTGCCGAAATCTAGTTTCACACATTTACTTATTCTCTCCAGATGCTTCAGATTCTCTTCATTCAGATAATTATCCATATTTCTTCCAGTACTTGCCATCATGCTGGTATTAATAACTCCATTTTACAAATCACTTTATCTCATTAAATGAGCTAACTCTGCCTGTTTAGCTTGTGCCTAAAATGGAAGTTAATTAATAAAATGCTTAATGTCTTACATTGATGACTGCTTGTTTTGTAGCTGAGCTCTGGTTGGCTTGCTCATCACTTTCTTCACTTTATTTGGTTGAAGGTTTGTCTGGGGAAGAAATATCCGCGCCCATTTCATTTCCCACATATTTCTTTTGTCTCTTTGAACCTAACTTATAGCCCTGCATACTTAGTTTGTCCTGCTTCATATCCAAATCACTCAGGTCTTAATCTGAGTCCTCCTAGTTAGCTCTAGTGGATCGCTTCTTCGGTATATTTTTGGGAATATCAGCTATCGATTATTTTTGATCTCTTAATTTGCGGGCACTCATACACTTTTATGATAGAACTTTAATTAAAATTATTTAATCCGTATTTAAAATTTGAATATACAAAATGAGCATCATTAATACACCTTAAGGTAATTTCGAATAGTTATAATCTTGATAGTGCACTTGATAGGAGAGTTGAAAGGAGCCTATGGATTTGACACTAATAGACTTTTCTGCAAGGTAAGTAATTAGATGCATTTAATTGGGAATAGTTTAATGTTAGAGTGGGACACAACTGGACTCTGTTGTCTGGCAAAGATACGGGAGAAACTTTTGAAGAAATCAAGGAGGAAACTGAGGAGCATATTATCTGGGATCATCCCTTTGATATTCACTATAAGGCCAAAACAATGAGAGGATGGCCAAAGTTCTTTGTAGAAGTATGGCAAGTTGATGAAGATGGACGCTACTCAATATCAGGATATGGAATTGCAACAGTTCCTTTCACTCCAGGATAGCATACTCTTGAAGTCAAATGCTGGAGACCTAGTCCTCAAGGCTTCTTCAAACGGTATCTATAATGAATTCTCTAATTATTTTAGTCTGGCAGCAAAGATTTTAGGAATTTAACCAGAGCTAGAATTTAAGGACATGCTCATGTCAAGTGCTGAGAGATTTGGATTTGAAGCTGAGACAACTGGCACTGTAGAAATTGATGTAGGAGTAATTGTTAAAGACTTCTAACTTCATGGAGTCTAATTATTTACTCAAATTTGAATTGCCTTGTTCCTTGATGCATTTATATTTGGATTAAGTTCCATTACTTTAATTGTGATTTTGAATTAACTAATCAGACTTCCTCATGGTTAGGGGATAATTTTCTGTTAAAAGTTTAACTTGGCTTTAATTTTAATAAATCAAAATAATTGATAAAATTTAATGGGTTGCTGTGAGACAAGACCTGAGCCTTCTCAAAGTCAGAAGATTGATTATAAAGATCCGATCCTCTTTGATCAGGAGCGATTTCAATATCTTTTATCTACTTCTTTTGTTGAATAGGCTGAAGATGATGAAAACAATCAAGAGGATATCTTCAAAACTAAGTACAGTCCGGGAGATAATAGGGACCGTAAAGTTTCATCAAGACTGGACAAACTTAGTTTGAAAGAACTTGATGATTAGAAATTGAGCACATAGCAAAGCAATTCTCACATTGGTAGAAGGTAGGATACTGAAGGCTCTCATAAGAAGCAGAGATTTGATCCTTAAGCTGATAAAATGAGGTATACTTATGAAAAAGAAGATATAAGGAAGTTGAAGCCAACTACAAGTGTAGTCTTAAGCATGAATACCGTAAGACTTAATGAAAATCAAGGCTACATTGAGATAGTGGAGAGAAGGATAAAGAAAAGAGAGCTTTAGAAGGTTTAATAAATGAGAAAGTCTTAAAGGAATACAGTGAATAACCAAATTGATGCAGATGAAAATGGAGATAATTATTAATAATAACTCAAAGGTCCTAGAGAGTTTTCTTAAAGGAACTCTGTAAGGCAAAATGTAGGGAAAAAAATAATGGACAATTTTTTCCCTGAGTCTCGAAACGGTATTGTATCAGATGACCAAGGCTACCCTGTCTTATTCTTTACAAAAGATGTCAAGAAAAACCTAGAATAAGAATGAAAGTTCATAAATTTAGCAGATTTATGCCTGATTTGGTTAATCATTGTAAAGTCCTTAGAATTGAAATTTATGATTTGTTTTTTGTACAGTAGTAATCGTCTAATTATCAAGAGTTAATTTCTAGATTTATATTTTTAAGTTATTTTATTTTCACGAATATTTCTTATCTTAGCAAACATTAATGTCTGTTATTCAAAATTCTGCATTTTCAAACACTCATTAAAGCTTTCATCCAAACTCCATTATCAGCTAATCGTTGCAGGGAGTAAGCTTCAAGCCACAGGAGAAATATATCTATGCTAAGAGCCCAAATAGAGAAATGGTATAGAAAATCGCTCATGAGGCGAGTGTTGATAAATTAGTAAGATAGCTAGAATAAGATAAAAAGACTTTGGAAATTTATGAGTCTAAAAGGCAGGAATAGGTGAACTATCATAACTAAACATTAATATAAAAGCAGTAAAAGCTTAGAGAAAATCAGCAGTTCCTGCTGCAATAGATCTAGGAAAGATAAGAGAAAGAGATGGCTAATAAGCAAAATGATCTTGTTTAAGAGATTCAAATAGTGGATGTGAATAACACTTAGTATGTGAATATTTACCCACCCATTAGAGAGACACCAAAGGAAAAGCGGAGATTTAGAGAATTGATGCAGCAGAAAATGCTGGGCTAGGAACTAGACAAATAGCTTACGTCAAAAGAGACTTATGAAAAATAGATAAAGGGATAAATCAAGGAAGAGTAACGTAAGATTGGATAATTAAAAAAGCAAGAGGAGGACGAGGAATTGAATTAAAAGAAGGTACAAAATAGATAAATGCATAATAAATATGCCCAAGAGTGGAAAGCAAGCATATTACTCAAGTCTAAACAAAATCTTGAGGATATCGAGGAGGAAACATAGGCAAATTAAAGTGAACTTAGAGACACAATTGAAGATATACAACAAACTTAGATATACTAGATGGATGAAATTTATTCTGCAGAAGGAGGAGTTAGAGATCTCTAGAATGAAGACGTTAATGATAGGATGAATATGACTCAGAAAACATTTAAAAGCAGTACTATAGATACAAAGCTCATCGAAAAGCTTAATGAAACTAAAACCAGATTGGAGAAATCAGATGGAAAGAATATATAAAAATTCAAGTATGACATTGAATAATTGAAAAAGGGACTCGAGACTTGCGATTACAAATCAATTTTTAAGATATTAAATCACAGTAATTTAACACCAAGAGTAGATCTTTCACAAAAGAAGCCAAAAGCCTAGAAACTTGAGCCAGTTTAGGAAAGATTTGAAGCAGTCAATAAGCAGAAAATTTAGGATGATGTCCTATCTTTAATAGGATCTCAACCTTCAATAAAGCCAGTTTAAAAACTAGTAGAAAAAGAGGCGGCAGTGAGATATTTAAGGCAATAAAAAAGCCTATAAAAGTAAGAAAAAAAGGCAGATTTGATAATGAAACAAAAACTTGAAGAGATAGATTAACGAAATTAAGAGCATAATAAGCAAAGAAAGTAAAAGTTACAATAATTAAAGCATGACTTGACAGATTAGATTGAAACTAAGAGGGTCCAAAGTTTGGAATCATTTAAATATCATAAATTATAGCCTGGCATTGAGGGTCAAATGGGGTATCCAAGATTATATCAAATGTCAATGGAGGAAATAATGAACAAAAAGAACTTGAATTAGGTTTAGCTTTAAGGATTTTATGAAAAGCAGATGGAACATAAAAGTGGTAGTAAAAATGTGCAATAAAAATCAGAAGTAGAAAAGGAACAATTACTTCATTTAGAGGCTGAGTAGTTTATCCTAAAAGAAAGAGAGGCAAAAATTAAAAAGGATTAATACATTAAAGAATTACTACGCTAATAGTAAGAAGATTAGAATAAGCTTCTAAAGATAAAAGAAGATTTTTAGGAATAGCAAAGAGTCTAAAAACGGATGGAAAACAATCTCTTATTTCCACAGATTATGATAAAATCATAAGACTAAGTACAATCTGACTAGCATTTGGCTAAACTAAGCTAGCTTATCAATAAACAAAAATCAAATGAATCTGTTATTACTTAGCAATAACTAAATAAAATACCTAGTAAAATACAGCTAGGCTCATCCACATCTAGAGAATTTAAATATTCACTTCCTCTTGATAAAAGCAAAATCATGTCTGCCAGTCAAGCCGAGAGAACTTAGAGTATAGACAGCGGTATTCAGGCTGCTAAGAGCATGAGATAACTAAAGCAATCTATGATGAATGGCAATGATACCAACTTGCAGCTTTATCCTTGGGAATTAAGAGAGTAATCTGTATAGCAGATCAGAAACTTAGAGACAATTTCTAGCAGGATGAGTGTGAGAAGAGGAAACCAACTAAAAAATAATAATTTCTTGAATATACAAGACAAACTTTGAAGTTTATTATGATACATTTATAGGAATCTTTCATTTGCCAAAGAAAATCAAATTACTCATGGGGTTTTGGGGTTTTGGGGTTTTGGGGTTTTGGGG